CTTATAACCAACTAAAGTATTATTGTTTCATTTCACCTCACATTTTAAGGTTACTTTCTCTCACTTGGAACACTTAGATTAATTTAAAATACTTCAATTACATCTGTGAAGGTCAGCATATTTCCGAGCTCGATAAAAACCAAGCCTTACTTAAAATTATCTTAAGTTTAACTAACTTTACAAAAATAAGTAACAACATCTATGGCATCAATTAAAATATTATGAATAATATATATATATATATATATTTCATAATGTATCTAGTGATACTAATTGATGCCATAACTATTGGTGCTATTTTTCTATAGATTTGGTAATGTAACTTAAAATAGATTGATTTAGGACAACTTTAGAAGTTGTTTTAATTTAGGATGAAGAGAGTACCAAATTGTATTCTATATTTATATTATTTATTGAGCACTCATAAGTTAGATGGTAGCATTACAATTACAACATAATGGCACCAGCCCAAAACAGCATGTACTACGACCTCTTTATTACAAAAAAAAATGCAAAAAGTGACCTAATCTCGGAGGAGCAGGGAGATATCTCCCCGCCCTCTTCTTGCCAGAAAGGCCCCTCTCTAGGCTCTTGTCCGCCGTGCCGCTTAGTCCTGGTCCCTCCTTCCTTCTCTTCCTGGTATGTTCTTCACATAAACCAGCTGCCTGTTAGTTAGTTCTTTTATTTATTGAGAGCAAGATATGTTTACGGTATCTTTGTCCTACCGTATTGCCTCGGGATTCTTGTCTCATACTCCCACCCAACGAGTACATGTACACTAGTTCTGTTTTCTAGTTCTTCCGGTTGGGGTGGGGTACCATTAGGTTCCTGCCGGTGATAGTTGGAGAATACCATGGTCTAAAACTTCTTATGAGGTAGTATTTGTTCAATATGGTCTTTGTATAGTAGTGATGACACATTGCATGTGGCATGGCTTCCTTACACTTCATTCATCTATAAATTGCATATCTTTATAAGATACTTCTCACTTCTTCATCTTTGTATATCTCTATGACTTCTACTTCTTTCAGATGCCCCTGGTCACTTTGAGGTGGCCTAGACCCTGGAAGCTGCACATTGGTGGTGTGTGACCTTAAGTAAGGTTCCTCCAATCAAAGCGATGGAGATCTTCCTCTCTTTAGCAAATAGGGCCATTGTTTTCTCCTTGATAGTGTCAGACAAAACAATGCCTGAGCAGAATCCTTGTGCTCTTTGATCCATGCATTCTAGGACTCGCCTAAATTATTGTTGATGTAGTCACATTTGATGTATCCTTTATTGAATTTGCTCTCGGCCCGAGAGTAGTGAGTTATGGTGCTCTTTCAACCAAGTAAGCACACCAGGCTATTGCCCACAACCTTGTCAAAAAATACTTGAATTTATGAGGAGTATAGGCCTAGTTTGTAGGCCACATGTTTTTGGCATAGACATATTCACCTTAATATTTCTTCATATTCTCCATCAAATGTCTAAAGCACTCTCTCTTCTCACAATGAGGCCACACTTGAGACACTACTACCTCAAGATCTGAAAGGACCTATGATGCACTAGCCTAGAGGGTGAATAGGCGTTTAAAAATGCTACACCTTTAAATGTAGAAACAATTAGAAAAGGGAGTTTCTAAATAAAAAACTTCAAATTAAGAAGTAATACCACCCCTCACAAGTTAGCCACAGAGTAAACAAGGTATAAAGAATATATCTGAAGCTACAACCACCAGCAACACAAAGTTAGAAGCAGAAATCAAATAATATTAAATACAGGCTCTAATACCTTGGACGTGTCGTGTCCCATTTCTGCAGTATCAGACCCGAACTCTTTCTTTTCGATTTTATCTCTTCAAACCAAATTGTAGGCACCTAAAGAGATGACAATATACAGAAGAACCTACACAGAAGTGGAGAAACACAAATATCAAAATGAAATACTAATTGAGACATGATATTTGTTTCACAAGAGTCGATAGGTCTTACTGTTGAGGCTATGGGCGTAGACTATTGACCCATTTTGATTACAAGGCACTCTTAAAGAGTCTTTCCAACTCATTTTTCCTAACTAGTTGATTACGGCTGACTTAAATATGAAGTCCTACAAACTTTCCTAGGGCACCACAACTTCTCGGGCTCCTAACATGACGATAGTCATGAGTAACAGAAAAGTCACGAAGATTCCACTAAAAATTGAAATTGCTCACATGGTTGGATTGTTTCTTTTAAATGCTTCTACCAAACTTTTGTCAATTTGTCCATTTCGAGGCAAACAATCTTATGCTCAATTAGCCGTCAGGGATTGAAGAGAGAAGTAACAAATACAAATCTTGAGATTGACAGCACAAGTGCTCAATCAGTTGGATTGCTGTATTTTACAATTCCTCAACCCTGATTTGATTTGTAATTTGATCAATTACTCACTTGAGAGGTTGAGAAAGTTGGCATATACTAAAAGCGTGTGTGTATGTCGGTGATGTTCAGGCGGCCTCCAAGGTGGGCTTGGGGTGATTATAACCTTTAAAAACTAGTCGTTTTATAGCCGTTGACATACGCTTATCGGACCGTCCGTGTAGACTTGACTTCTTGCTAGCGGTAACTAAATTCTGATGACAATGTGGCGTCGGAACTCGGCCGTCAGGAACCCGACCATGTCGGAACTCCCGACCCTCAAAGCATATTTGAAAACCATGTAACTAAGTTAAAGTATGTGGTGTCGTGTAACTCCGACTCATGCGGTCCACTTCCGACCATGAAACTCCGACTCACGTTGGAACTCCAGACCTCAAGGCTTTTGAAATCTAGCCATTGGCCTCGCCATCTATCTGGGACACGTCCGGTATGAATACTTTCTAACACGTCTAGTACTGGACCAGATCTTATGAACCTCTCTAAATCGATTAATGCCTGGCGCATTGAACTCCGTTTGACCTATAAAAGGCCGTCGATCGTGCGGAACTTCAGACTCACGTCCGGAACTCCCGGACGAACCAACCCAAGAACCATAAGAATTTTATCGTGATAGCTTGGCATAATGACACGTCCAGTATTAATCTTCTGGTACGTACATTGCCAGACCGACAAAAACACAAGTTAGCTCTTTATCTCTCAAACACTCAAAACTCCATGGGTTGGCATGAGCACTTATGAAACATTATCTATCAACATGATGCATCCCTCTTAATGAAATGCACACATTCCTAACTCAATTTTTAAAAGTATCGCAATTTAAACCTTTTGAGTTGATCTCTTTCAAACCAAACATGTATTCCAATCTTCATAAAGTGAGGGTGCCACTTCATGTCAACTTTCATCTTTTCTCACCATGAGCATAGCCATCTTGAGCACGTGACTTGATTCCATTCATCAAATTTGAATAATCCCAAATGTATGCAAGTCTTACTTCCATCAAACACTCAATAGTGATTTGATCCTCCACATAAACATGGCCATCATAGCTTGATTAGTACCTCAACTAAATGTAAGTACTTCATTCTTTTACCTTAGCTAGGTTCTTCCGGCATGGCTTCAAAGGCCACTGTAGTAAATGCCTATAGTAATATCTTCACCCTTGCTTAGTACCTTTAGAAATAGATGTCCTTTCCTTTCCTTGCTATCATTCACAGATCAGCCCTCATCATCTCAAGCCATTAAGTCACATCTTGTGTTGAATCATCCATTCATGTATTGTTATCATTTTTCATTTTAATTTAGCAAGCTTTAAATATAAGACCATCTCATGCGTGTAATCTCTCATGTCTCATTAATTAATTCTTACGAGCTTGCTTTCACATAGTATGGTAAATCCCACAATAAATAAGCCTTTTGCATGAATTCCGCATTGCATTGTTGTCTTATGCTTGAGCTAGATTATTTATACAACAACACATCATTTTGGTTTTTTTCATTAAGTACACAATGAGATAACCTATTACCCCACCACACACTAGCAAATGGGTTAGACCTTTAATCATGTTGTCATTCAATCATCAAAACCCACTAAAGGACTAGATTCTCTTTCAAGATCACTTGTAAGCATCCTAGTGCACATCACGCTAACTTGTCCATAGGTCAAAATTGCTTTGCTAAAACATTCCATGAACGGATCCAGTTTTCCTTGGTTTGGAAAGTCAAACAATCCAAATGCTAAAGGATACATCTATTATGGCCAGCATCTAATGCTGCTTGAATTTTGAGAGCAAGTGTGAGAAAAGGCCCATATAAGGGTTAGGAGTCTATACTAATATTATGGTCTTGCATCTATTTCTAAAACCATCTATAGCTGCCTTGAAACAACAAAAAATATCACTTTGAAATGAATCTTCCTATCAACTTCTTGGATAGCTATCTCCCAACTTCATGGTGCTAGGGTGATCTCATCTCTACCTCTTGCCTTAAATCTATACAACCAATCAAAGTGAGTCATCCCACTTACCAAAAGTTTTGTTGGGCTGCTCTCATGTCGCCATACACTATAGGTTGGTAGGGATCTCAATCTTATATTTGGTGCATGGCTCCTCCTGTACTTCCCTTTGGACCCATGCTTTAGCTTCTTCTTGAGTAGTGGAATAGCCCTCTCTATCACTCAAGCTTGAGGCCACTCTTGCCTCTAGAGCACAAATTAACCATACCGCCCTTCATTTTTGCACCTACACATACACAAAAGCAGCCAACATAAGTAACCAGACAAACATAACATCCAGACGGTTTAAATAAAACAAAACAAATCTATAAAAAATACACGACACTCCCATCATGTTGGACTAGCTCTAATAATCCAAGGACATCCAAGAGAAGCACAATTTCCCTAAACCTTGATGTATGGGAGTATGCAATTAGTGAAGCTCAAACTCATGATAATTGCATGTTGTCTCTCAGCTTAATCTGAAACCATCCATAGAGGTAAAACCCCGCCCCAACATATTGAAGGATTATCCACATATCTTCAATCATCCATTGGCCATTCCACGTGATCATCATTGGCACATGATACTGATACGGAGGCCAGCCACGATGATGGCTGCGGCGGCGCTCAGGCCGCACAAGGCTTCGCCGGCGCGCGTGCCCACGCAGTGCGTGGCCACGCTCTGCGCCGCCTGCTTCCTCCTCGGCATCTGCGTCCTCAACAGGTCCGTACTCCTTCTCCCCCAAATCCGCCCGCCGCCCGCCCTCTCAGATAGAAATAGAAGTCCCCCGCTCGCCTCCGGTCCCTCATCCCGCTGCTTTTGCCCGCCTGCTGCAATATGTCCCGAGGCAATGCTCGTCGCTTCCAAGGTCGGGGAGTGGTGGTAATTGATCTACATTTGTGTGCTTATTGCAGGTACTGGGCTGTTCCTGAGCATCCCGGTTGCCCAGACAAGGTAATGCAATTCCCCCCCTCTCTTGTCTCTTCCTGGAGCGTTCCTATGGAAGCGCATTCAGACATTTGTTGGTCGCCAATTTTTCAGGCAGGCTCCGACCACTCGAGGGCCGCGTTGAACCAAGTGTCACAGACTCGCGAAGTCATCATGTAACATCACAGGCTTCTTCAGTTCCTGAATCTATCTGGTTAAATATGGGTTTGTTAATATATTGCGTCTTGGTGTTTCCATGGCAGGGCGTTGGATAAGACGATATCCGACATCGAGATGCGTCTGGCTGCAGCTAGAGCCGCCCAGGCGATGAGCCAGGGCATGTCACCGGACGACTCGGAGGGCGACCAGGGAACTGTGCGGCATAGGATGTCTTTTGTCATGGGCGTTTTCACCACTTTTGCGAACCGGAAGCGGAGAGATTCGATAAGGCAAACATGGATGCCACAAGGTAGATGCCGTGTCCTGCCATTTTGTACAGTGGAGCCTTTTGTTTCATTTCCGATTCCTTATGTAAAATATTGAACATTTGTAGGTGATCAGTTGCGAAGATTGGAAGAGAAGGGCGGCGTTATCCGTTTTGTTATTGGACGCAGGTATGGATTTCTTATGAGTTGGAGATAAAAACAGACGGTGACACAATGTTCTTTAGTATGTTCCTGAAATTTGGGGGGGTTCTTTCTTGCAGTGCAAATCCAAACCCGTTTAATGAAGTCGATCGTGCAATTGATGCAGAAGATAAAGAATACAATGATATCTTGAGAATTGTATGTTCAGTTGATTAGTTTCAACTTCTCTCCTTTTCTTTGACCAGTGACAGCCAGTCAGCCACCAATGATGTGTTTGCAACATTAACCATCCTATACAGAATCATGTGGAAGTCTATGGAGGGCTCCCTATGAAGATTCAGATGTTTCTTTCAACTGCTCTTACTATGTGGGACGCTGATTTCTATGTAAAAGCTGACGATAATGTTCATGTCAACATTGGTATGCAAAGACGGGACCCTTTCAACTTTGATCAATCAAGTATAGTGCCGGTGCATCACACTGTGATTGGGGGGCTCTTTCAATACAGGTATCACCAGATCGATTTTGGCGCGACACAGGACGAAACATTGGGTGTACATTGGCTGCATGAAATCTGGACCCGTTATTGCTAAAAAGTAATGCTCCATATTTGCAGACTTTCTTTTTCACATTTTATAGATTTTATTTATTACAAACATGGTTCATCTCCATATTAGTTGAGATCGCACTTCCACATTTACTCATTATATATAAGGACATTTCTTACTTGCAAATCCCTAACAGCTAATTTCATCTTACCAAAATTTGTTTTCAGAAATGACATAATAAAGTTCCTGTCTAATGTTAACAGTGACTCCAAGTATTATGAGCCAGATCATTGGAAGTTTGGGACTGAGGGTAACAACTACTTTAGCCATGCAACACAGCAACTGTATGCTGTAACCAGGGATTTGGCAACTTACATATCGGCAAACCGGTGAGTTCAAATGATGGTGTGTAATCCTATAGACCAGACTGATCAACTGTTTATTTCATATTTTCTGAACACCACTTTCAGGCATATCCTGCACAAGTATTCAAACGAAGATGTATCATTTGGCTCTTGGTTGATTGGGTTGGAAGTCGAGCATGTTGATGAGAGAAGCCTTTGCTGTGGTACTCACCCAGGTTGGCGTCTCCATTTACACTCAAATTTCCATGCTTCTTCGGTATTTACTTCTGTAGCATCTAGTTAATTACTGCATGCTCATTGGGATAGTGGCATGACTTTGCTTAACCTTGAAGTTAGTTGCTTTACTGTACTATTTAGTTAAGCCAATTTTGAAGTTTTTAGTAAGAAAAGATTGATATGAAATGTATAACAACTGCACTTTTTGTTAGTCAAAACTTGCTTTCTCCAGCTTTTTGTCCTCTGTTTACCAGCAATGTCCTCTGCTTACCAGCAATGGTCCCATACTTCAACCAGACATGCTCATAGTGGACAAATTGGTGTTCAACAACAATCGCACCAATACAATCCAAGACCCCTGATCATTTGCCACTGCTCCTAAGCACCAGGTGGTAGGCACACCAGCATCTGTCACCTATGGGGATTGGACAGACTAGGCAGGATGGGCACCTACCGCCTAGCACCTAAGCGATGCTTAAGGTCTAGGCGGCCACCTTGGGCAACAGTGGAGCCTGAAACCGAATGTTTCATTTATTTGAACGCTACCGACACTGAGCAGTAGATGATTACTTTTGAACAAACTCGAGATACGATGATTTTAATGCTGCTTGGAAAATTTTTCCTGCCATTGTGAGTGTACTCCTTGTTGACCTTCTGAAGCAATGAGCTTCTTGTCTGTTGGTTTCTCGATGGCATGGTTCTATCCTTTTCACTTCACTGTTGCTGTAATTGGTACTATTCTTCGTCTTTGGTAATGAATGTACTCTCTGTACCTGACCAATCATCACTGCCAGCTCTGATCATTATAGGCATGCTCCCAGATGCACCTTGAGGGAACCATATGAAAACATGAGTATTAAACCCCAATTTACCTGTCATATGCCGCTAACCTCTTCAGCTAATTGTTCAGGATACGGTTTGGTGCCTCTCTTAGTTCTCACTTCTCACTGTAATCTGCACACATTTCATGTGCCACCTTTGACAATCTTGCAGACTGCGAATGGAAAGCGCAGGCCGGGAACCCATGTGCGGCGTCCTTTGACTGGAACTGCACTGGCATCTGCAATCCGGTGGAGAGGATGACAGAGGTGCACCGACGATGTTGGGAAGGCCTTGGAGCGGAAGGGCACGCACAGTTTTGACTTTTGACAGCCAATAGTTGGCGGATCATTGTCACACCATTTTTTTCTCTGTAGGGCCCTGTAAGTAATATGCGGAGATGAACTTGTATGCAAATGCAATGGCTCAGTTTTTCAGATGTGCAGCAATGCCATCGTTTTCTGGCCAGTTTGTGTGCGGATGCTGGGGTAGAAATGAGGAGTACAACCTGCAATTGAGTCTCTAATAACTGAAGATACCTCACTGGATGCTTGTCGTGATATTGGCAGACTGATTGATCTCTCAAGAATTCGCTCTGTCAGAGTTCTCTAGATTTGTGTGTCATTCTGAGTGGAGAATCAGGTTTCTCACGGAAAAGAATAGAAATGGAAAGCTTCTGTAGAGAATGAGAATGTGGCCAACCACTGTAGTATTGCATCTCATCGAGTATATATACAAGTTACAGTCGGGAGTGCGTGGTGCGCACGATCGTGGGCGACGTCAGTTACCACAACGAGAAGCTAAGCTAACTGCAGGACGAGTACAGACTGAATACAAGCCTGACAGACTGAATAACTGAATGTCTCAAACCCACCCCCCCCGCAGTCGGTGTAGTCTTCACACGCTCATCGGGACGACGACAGACTGGAGCGAAATGCTTGAAGGTCGCTGTCGATAATCCCTTTGTCATCACATCGGCGTACTGCTCACCTATTGGAACATGCAGAACACGCAGATCGCCCATCTGAACGCGTTCATGGACAAAGTGTATGTCCAACTCGATGTGCTTGGTCCTCTTGTGGTGAATGGGGTTTGCCGACATGTACACCGCAGAAACATTGTCACATGTAGGTGACCGTCGCCTTGGTCATGCCCCAATGGAGCTCGCCGAGGAGTTGCCGGAGCCAAATGCATTCCGCCATGGCGTTCGCGACAAAGACGGTATTCCGCCTCGGCGCTTTCGAGCGAGAGGCCGTGGGTTGCCGTTTGAAGACCATGACACAAGAGCGTCGCCGAGGTAGACACAAAATCCCAAAGTCGAAGCGCCGAGTATCCGGGCATCCCGCCTGGTCGGCCGTCCGAGTATGCGCCAGGACGGTGAGGTCCGCCGAGCCTCGCAGGTATAATCCCATCGCTGCCGCGTGCCGCGGACGTAGCGGAGGATGCGTTTCAGCAGCGAGAGGTGAGGTGCACGGGGATCATGCATGTGCAGACACGCTTGCTGCACGGCGAAGGCAAGGTCAGGGCGCGTAACAGTCAAGTACTGCAACGCCCCGGCCAGACTCCTGTACATCTTGGCATCGTCGATCGCTGGTCCATCGGCAGAGAGTTTGCCCTTAGCGTCGATTGGTGTTGTAGCCGGCTTGCAGTTTGTCATCCCAGCGCGCTCAAGAATGTCCTCGGCGTAGCGCTGCTAGGACAAACAGAAGTCGTCGGCTGTATGCTTGACGTCGATGCCGAGGAAGAAGCGCAGATCACCAAGATCCTTGACAGCGAACTCCAGTTTCAGGCGCTGGATGATGTCTTGGAGGAGCGCCGGATTGGAACCTGTGAGCACGATGTCGTCGACATATAGCAAGAGGTATGCGATGTCATGGCCCCAGCACAGAACGAAGAGTGAGGCGTCGGATAGTGTCGGCTTGAAGCCAAGCTTGATGGCGTGATCAGCAAACCGAGTGAACCATGCGCGAGGGGCCTGACGAAGCCCGTACAGAGACTTGTCGAGGAGACAGACGGCGTTCGGGTGTTCAGGATCGACAAAACCTGTGGGTTGTTGACAGAGAACGTGTTCCTGCAGGTTGCCGTGAAGGAACGCGTTGGACACATCGAGCTGTCGTGTGGACCAGCGACGAGAGGCGGCAATGGTGAGCACTGTGCGGATTGTGGCAGGCTTGACGACCGGCCTGAAGGTTTCGCCGAAGTCAATGCCCACGCGCTGCGTGAACCCACGGACCACCCACCGGGCTTTATAGCGCTCGAGGGATCCATCCGGATTGAGCTTGTGGCGAAATACCCATTTGCCAGAGATGATATGGGCACTAGGTGGACGCGCAACCAAACGCCATGTGCGGTTTGCCTGAAGAGAGCGGTACTCCTATTCCATGGCGTCGTGCCAGTTAGGATCTCGAAGCGCGGCGCGCACCGAGGTTGGCAGAGGGGATATGGAGGCGCTAGTGGAAGGTGGAGACGTGGTGGTGGCGAGCGCATAGCGTGGGTTGGGTTTGACGATGCCAGCCCGAGCGTGAGTGATCATCGAATGTGCAGGCGCAGGCGGTGGCTCAGCAGCAGCTGGGGATGAAGAAGACACTGATGGCGTGGGATGGGCTGAAGAGGGTGCTGCGAGCGGGGGAGACTCTGGCGTGGGAACCATATGTGCGGAGGCTGGGGCAGGCGTATCAGGATGGGCAGGAACATGAATGCGCGACGGTGCCAGTTCCTGAATAACTACGGTGTCTGTTGTCGGACAGACAACAGTTCCATCAGAAATGCCATTGCACGGAGCCGAGCGAAAAGGGAAGGAATTCTCGTCGAATGTAACATGACGGGAAGTGATCACTCTTCGTGTATCGAGATCGAAGCAACGATAACTGCGGTGGTCAGTGGGATACCCCAGCAGCACGCAAGCAGTGGAACGGGGAGCAAGCTTATGAGGCATGGTGGCTGCCTGATTAGGAAAGCAAAGACAACCGAAGACTCTGAGGTGGTCATAGCTAGGTGGGGCGCCGAGCAAACACTGGAATGGCGTGGAGGGACCAGTAGCTTGGCACGGACGCTGATTAAGAAGATGCGTTGCTGTGGATAAGGCTTCAGCCCAGAAAGAGGGAGGCATGCCGGCATGCAGGAGCAGACTGAGAATGCAGTCGTTGAGAGTGCGGATGATACGCTCTGCAGTGCCATTCTAGGATGAAGTGCAGGGACAGGACAAACGAAACACTATGCCGTGAGTAGCAAAGTGAGCACATAATGCTTGATTATCGAATTCTTTTCCGTTGTCAGTTTGGAAGGAGAGAATGGGAAGCTGAAATTGAGTAGATACATATGCGTGGAAAGACAAGATGCAGGCAAATACATCAGCTTTGCTACGTAGGGGAAAAGTCCAGACATAATGAGTAAGATCATCAATCAAGACAAGATAATATTTAAAACCAGAACAACTAGGAACCGGCGACGTCCAGACATCAACATGTATAATTTGAAAGGCAACATAACTGACAGATGCAGAAGAAGAAAATGGTAGTCTGACATGTTTACCAAACTGACAAGATGAACACACATGTGAAGAAGACTTAGAACAGCTAAAAGCGACATGATGCAGAGTTTGACGAAGAGCATGACGCCCCGGGTGACCCAGCCGCAAGTGCCAAAGATCAGCAGTAGCAGTGGTGGCAATGAGTGCTTCCGGCGATGACGGTGCCAGGGGGTACAGGTCGCCGCTGCTGTTACATCGGAGCATCACCGTGCAGGTTGGTAGGTCCTTGATAGAGAAACCATAGGGGTCAAACTCAACGGAAACATTGTTGTCACGAGTGAGGGATCGAACGGAAATAAGGTTTTTAACTAAAGAAGGAGAAACAAGGATGTTGTTTAGTTGAAGAGGAGAGTGTGCTGTGGCAATGGCAGTAGAGGTGCGATGAGTGACTGGTAGGGTGGCGCCATTGCTGTAACAACCCGGGTTTTTGGAGAAGCCAAAAATACGAACTTTTAAAATTTTTCCTGCAATGTGTGAATCATGTAGTTGCTAGGTCAAACCTAAAGTCAACTAAGAACAATTTATAAATAAATTGTTGCACTCATATAGAATTGCTTGTAGGTGTTTGCTAGAGTTCTTTAGTTGGTTTAGTGTTTTGTTCAGAGTGCACAAATCTGTAGCATTTCCCCTCCAAGCCTTCTTGAATTACTCCCATCTCTTTTGCATCCCTCCCAAAATTCATTTGTGTTAAATAAGGAAAACCTTTTGCCTTTATTTCCCTTTTCAATTCTCCGTGGATATTCCTCTCAAACCCTTTTGAATTCATTTCAAAATCCTTAAATCGATAAAAGGAAAATTCCTTTTTCCTTTTGTCCTAACCAACCCATCCTATCACCATGGCGATGCCCCTAATAATCCAACTAGGTGAACAAACATGCAGGCTAGTGTGCTTGTTCCTCTAACCACGTGAGCTCCTTGCTTCCTCTGTGTACAATTCCATGCAAGGACTCCATACGTGTATATACGTGTATACATGCCAGTGCCCAATAGCAAGAACCAGAGCCCAGCTTCCCTCCCGGCCCATCACCATCGCGGCTCGGCCAGCCACAGCAGACCGCTACCCAATCCTCTCCCACGTGCATGCTCCTGTATGTCACCCCGTGGGTCCCAAGTGTCACCGCACGGAGGAACTGAAGCCGCGAGCGCCGTTTGCCTCCAGTCGCTTTTCCCATCCCCACGCCGTCTCCTTGTTCCTCCATACAAGCCCCGCTCCTCTGCTTTCCGTTAGGAGCCACAGCGTCTGACTTTGGATGCCCCTGCGAGACCCCAGCTGCGAGCCCCGCTGAGCCACGCCTCGCGCCGCGAATTGCGGAAGCGACCGCACCGAGCCTGGACGCCCTTCTCGAAGCTTCTCGCGTCGCTCATCTGCCCGTGGTCTTGGATGCGCGCCACGTCGCGCCGACCATCAAAATCAGCGGCACGGACGCCGGCGCCCCACTGTGAAGCCCTAGCATTTGGGCTATAAAACCCTCGGCCAAGGCCTCGCCCTCACCAACTCCCTCCACCACGCCACCATAGCCCTTCTCGCACCTCTCGGCCTCGCTTAGCCCCCGATGCCATGCCCCTCCTCTGCTGCACGACCGCGACCACGACCCCGATGTCATCGCTGTGCCGATCCACTCCGTCACCGTTCGCGTCAGCCAGCTGCCGGAACCGATTGCCACGGTGGAGCCGAGCAGCACGTCCACGCTGGAGCAGCTGCTCATCGACCGCCATGGATGCGACACCGAGCTGCACCGCGGCCCAAAAGCCATGGGACCAACCCCTGCTTCGACTACAGCAAGCCCCTGAACCAAACCCAGTGTGCGACTACGACAACGCAGCGGCTCTGCACGGCACCGCAGCAACACATCACAGCCTCGACCCGCCACCGCGTCGCTACCCTGACCACCACAAGCCCGATGGTGAGCCTTCAGCCTTGCCTCCCTCTGTTGCCCCGATACCGGCGAGCCTGCTATGGTCGCCACCGCGTTCTCCCAACCTGGGAGAGCCCAAGGCCAAGCCGTTGGCTTGACGACTCACTGAACGCACTGGGACACGTGCACGAGCTCTGCGCCGCCTTTGCCGAGCCCTCCCCGCTTGGGAACGCATAGCGCCGCCACACCGAGCTCGCGTGGTAAATCGCCGCCGAGCCACCCACGGCGCCGTTCCGTGCTCCGCCCGTCAGCCCCGGTAGAGGTAGCACAACCATCGGGTCCATGTCCGCCATGCCATGGAACGCCGTGGCCACCACCTATAGGCCTTAGAAGCCCGTAGTTCGCTCTGGACCCGCCTCGCCGCAAGCGGTGATGCGCCGTGTCTGCCACCGCCAAGTGCGCTGCGCGCTTTCCGTCCGACTCCGGCCGCCTCGTTGTGCGAGAGCACGCCAGAGCTTCGCCTTAGCCGACCGCTCCCAAGCCCCACAGCCACCATCACCGGTGACATCGCCAGCGTGCCGAGCTACATCGCGCTTTTCCCGCCGCGTGTTACGGTCATCGCGGTGCCACCTTCTGACGACTCGCCATGACCCGAGCCCGTGGCGTCCGCCGCCACTCGAAAGCGCCAGCCCGCGCGCCATTGCGGGCACACCGCCATCACCGCCACCCACAACCTTGATATGATGCACCCACCATGGGCCACTCCGTCGTCGCCGCCACGGCCAGCGGCGACGCTTCCCGCACACCGCGCTCACGGTGCTCGCCGCGAGCACCCGCCAACCGCACACACGCACCCATGGACATGTACACGTTGCTGTTCGCCGCCGTTGCTCAGGAACATGGCCTTTTGCCTTGCCTCGAGACCTCAACGTGCATAGCTCACGCACATCGACCATGCATGGTCGGGCACCAAATGATGCCACCGCCCGACCCACTTTCGTCGGCGGTGACGTCATGCTAACATCATGATGACGTCACGTGGGTCCCACCTATCAGTGACCGTTTGACCCCGGACCCACATGTCAGTGGCCCAAGAGCCCCGGTCCCACCTGTCGGACTGATGATGTCGTGCTGACGTCATGATGACGTCAGTGGAACCCCACCTGTCAACCACTGTTGCCGAGACCACCGTCGCCGAGACCACCGTCGCCGAGACCACCGTTGCCGAGACCACCGTTGCCGAGACCACCGTCGATGAGACCACCGTTGCCGAGACCACCGTTGCCGAGACCACTGTTGTCGAGACCACCATTGCCGAGACCACCGTTCCCGAGACCACCGTTGCCGAGACCACCGTCGCCGAGACCACCGTCGCCAAGACCACCATCGCCGAGACCACCGCTGCCGAGACCACCGCTGCCGCGACCACCGTTGCCGAGACCACTGTTGCCGAGACCACTGTTGCCAAGACCACATGGCCTCGCTGGCCGAGACCACCATGGCCTCGCTGGCCGAGACCGCCATGACCCCGTCTACCGCAAGCCGTACCCTCTAGGCCATGAACCCTAGTCGTATGTCTTACCGAGACCATGGAAAGCCCCATCTCGCATCTTTCCGTATACGCATATCTACCTTGTTAGGCCCTATTCTTACAACCTATCTGTCCATGACTGTCTTACAGGAATTCACCCATTCCCCAGCTATGGAATGTGCTACTCCGCAGTCGTGTTTGGTTCTTATCGCTGGTTGTTGGTGTTGTTGCCTGTATGCCGAGCCTTCGAGCCGGCTAAGGGATCGTACCTCGTTCGGACGTTACGATCGCGGGATCCGTCTCGCCATGACCGTGATGCCAAATGTAACTCGACCCCTCGATTTTAGTTGACTTCATAGTACCACAAGTGTTAGCACCTGTCTTCGGCCCTAGAACATGGTCGTGATGGATTCGATGTCGATACTAACATCGATGCGGATATCACCCGCACGCTTTGAGCCCTCCATGACCAAGTCCTGTGGGAGATGACCTGGGAGATAACAATCATGGAACGATGGATGCCAACTCGTAGGCATAGCTTGTGGCCGCGAGTTCACCTCGCCATGACCATGGAGCTACGCCTCTCTTTCGCTTTTTGTTGCTTCTTCGTGCTCAAGCCCTTGTATGCTTGTACCCCGTTTAACCATCACGTTTCTCTGATTCTCGCGGTGACAACCGCACCGCTATGAATCCGAGAGATATCTCAGTGCCAGTGCACCCAGGTCGGGTACCCTACGAGTGGTCTGCACACTTGGTGTTTGTCACTTCCTCCCAATGCCCCATCTTTCGTCGTGGCGCGAGTGTTGGA